AAGAAATATATATATGTATATATATATATATATATAAATTAAAAACAAGATTTATTTTTTATATATATATTTATAAATTTGTTTATTTATTTATTATTTATATGTTATTTGTATTTATTTATTTATTATTTATATATTTATTATTTATATATTATATTTATGTATTTATATATATCTATTATATATTATGTTTTATTATGTTTCTATTATGTATTCCTAATTATATGTATTTATTATTTATGTATTTATATATTTGTGTTAATTATGTATGTACATATATATATATATATATATAATATATATATATATATTTGTTTATTTATTAATTATTTATATATTATTTGTATTTATTTATTTATTATTTATATATTATTTATGTATTTATATATATCTATTATATATATTATGTTTTATTATGTTTTTATTATGTATTCAATCCTACGTGCTATATTATATTATCTACTATTTGCTTTCCTATTTCTCCTATTCACTTTAGGTACAATCATTCAACCCTGCAGAGAAACATGCTGTATTGATTATTGACGAAATGTCTATAAAACCTGGCTTACAATATGATCATTCCACTGCTTCAGTAGTTGGTCGGCCTACAATGAAACTTTCAGGTGGATTTGATAGCTCTAGTGAAAAAGCGACGCATGCCCTTGTTTTCATGTTGTGCCGCATTTCCAGTAAATGGAAACAGACAATAGGATACGAATTTACAGCTAATTCATTTTGCTCTCAACAGACTGTTGAAACGATTATAGCAATTATTCAAAAAACGAACGATATCGGATTAAAAATAAAAGTAATAATTTCCGATATGGGAACACAGAATAGAAGTTGGTGGAAAATCTGGAATATTACAGTTGGTAAATATTGTAAAATAAATAATTATATTCCACATCCGTGTAATAATGAAGAGAAATTATTTATTATGCCAGATACTGTTCATGTTTTTAAAAATGTCGCGTGCTCGTTAACAGCGGGCAATAAATTTTATTTAGATGAAACGCTTGTTAAAAAATATAACTTACCGTACAATGAAATTTCGATACAACCCATTCGCGAAGTATTCAATTTAGACAAAAACGATACACTGAAACTGTGTCCACGTTTGACAGAAAACGCTATCAATCCATCGCACTTTGACAAAATGAATGCCACTTTAAGTGTACGAGTATTAAACAATAATGTCGCTGCCGCTATATCGTATCATATAGCTAATAAGCGTATCGCTGATATACATAAAACCACTGCATGGTTTATTTCAACTATATACAAATGGTTTAAAATTATGAATAGTAGATATCAGAAGCTTGCATTGTTCTTTTTTAATGAAGATATTTATCAAGATAATATCACATTCCTTAAAGATTTTATAGATATTGTTCAAGGAATTACAGTTGGAGATGGAAAATGGAAACCGTTTCAAAGTGGCTTAATACTTTGTACACAAACTGCATTAGATTTACAAGTAGAATATTTAGAGAAAGAAAATTTCAAATTTTTATTATTAGGCAGATTTACACAAGATGCTTTAGAAAATCTATTTTCCGTCATCCGAGGAAGAAGGTCAGTACCTGATGCACGCGAATTTAAGCAGGCTTTAAGACTTGTTAGTTTATCACAGTTTCAAGGAAATATTAATCGCACTAGTTATTCGATTGTTGATTGTGATCACTTAATTCAATATTGCAATGAAATAAAAAATTATGATTTAAAAAATACCTCTAAAGAAGTGCAATGCGAGCAGACGATTGAAAAAGATTTATGTGATGAAACAGTATATGAATCATTACTTAGAGATGAGGCTGATTTAAGCGATATTACACAAACAGCATTATATCATTTAACAGGTGCTTTAATATCAAAAATTAAGAAAAACTTTAAACATTGCGATTACTGTTTTAATCTATTTAGTAACTAATTGTGATTTGAATAATATTTTAAGTATTTTTACTCGATTAAGAGAATTTAAAGAAAATA